TAACTGGAACCAGAGCGCTCCCAGTAACCCTCTAGGCAAGCCAGTTCAATAAAACCCAGATCGCAACCTAGCCGTCCCCACCTATGGTATTCACAGACGGCAAGCGATTCACAACGAATCATTCTACCACTAGCTCTAAGCCAAGGATTAACAACCTACACTCTAGACTGTTCTCACACTAACCATGACCCAATGAACACTTTACGACTATTCCACCTACCCAGCGATACCATGCAGAACTCCCTGGTGCAGCATCCCATGCTACCTCAGTCAGCACAATGCACAACATACAGCATTCAGTGGCGATCCTGTCACTCTGCAACCCAGCAGTGACCTAACGGCTACAATGACTGCTTCCAACAGAAACTAAAAGTGCGTGCCCTAAGCACGCTGCAAGTACCCACACCTAGTGATCTACGTACCGCTGACTGGTCAACACGTGCATTAATAATAAATGACTTAGACTGGAACCCATGCTTAGCCCTGTTTTGCCACAATAGTGTTTCCCAGCATGCTGCCCTGCAAAGTCTTCTAAAGGACACCGTGACAGATGTTGGCAAGGAGGATACCACTCTTGAGCTGCAACAGGGTGACCAAGTTTGTTATTTGAAAAGGTCAGCCATTTGAGACAGGCGAACTTGATGGTCAAGGAAACCCAACTTGCCATAGTGTCCCTGATTGTTGCTCGACTGGAGTAATGATAGAAGAAATGTGATAGTATCTCTCAGCTTTGAGTCCTGGTCAGGACTGCAAGGTTAGCTATTAGAAGAACTAAAATGCTCTACGATGTTTGAGACGAAGACATCTTGTTGGTAGGGTTAATTCGAATAAGACCTTGAACAGATGTCTATGGCTAGGATGAAGTAGACACTGTGGTGTTACCTATTTGATAAAATCATCTGTGATGGATACTGTCGGTAATCCACTGCCTTGGAGCGAAGAGTTACTAGTAGAAAGGCCAGCCTCACCTGAGTGAGTGATGATGCATATGAGGCTTCGAGGAAAGGACCGGAGGGAAAACCTTTGAAGAGAAGAACACGAGAAAGGATCCAACAATACAAGAGTTGTCATAAAGGGGAACATTCAATGAAAGTACTAAGAGAATATACCTGAGGGTAGTATTGTCCAAGGGAGCGGAGCCATCAGGGACAATCACAGCTAGTGGATAGCCTTGACAATAGAATGCTACATGTAGTTGTGTAATGCTAACTGTAGTCCGGAGTAAGTAGGGACAAAGGGGGAAGTCGGCTACTGTGTCTTGGTTGGAGATGCAGATGACCAGTACACCATAACATAGAGAGCCGTTATTTGTTGGTGTATAGACTTATGTTAGCAACTTGGTTGTTCAAGGCGCCAAAGTTAGTGAAGAGAAGAGAAGGCTGTAGCAATGCCCCAAGTGATTCAGACAGAACTGATGGAAAATAACCCTTCCCAGCTGAGAGGGGGGACATCTGACACCCAGGCCTGTAGGTGAGAGAACCTGGTGCAGAACCAAATATTCTCTGTCATGAAGAAGACAATATGTGAAGTGTCTAGTATCTTGAAGATTAACTCAGCCATATTGTAATGCGGAGTCGGCTTCATTGGGATAATCTTTCTCTGAGAGCACATGACTGCAAGAGAACTGTAATGTTGGCAGTTGGGATATGGGTTGCCTTATATTTAATCCCAGAGCTAATCGAACAGAACAAATTTGCCCTAACGGATGTACTGCAGTGACCTATCATGCTGGAGGTCCCTGGAGTTCTGGATGTTAAAGAGACTTCCCAATCACTGAGACCTGGGGGGGGGGTCAGGAGGGGAGGCATCTCCTGTAGATCTGGATTGGTTGGTAGGAAGTCATCACCTCAGGAACTATCTTTGGGAGACAGAGGTTGTAAACCAGATGGTTCCGTATCAGCTGCCGGCGAGGTCATGACCGGATGAGGTCCATTATGAAAACATGGAGGTCGATAAAGTCACAATTTGGGCCAAAAGAACAGCAGTAAGTGGACTAGGGGCCCCAATATGAAAATGGTAACGAAGTAGGTATTCGGTCCACTAGACCATCATCAGGCCAAAGAGGGGTTGTGGTTGTGCGCCAGAGCCTGGGGGGGGGGGAGACTGCACCTAGATCAATCAGGGCATGAGAAGATGTAGATCTCAAAATTCCTGAGTGATGTAGATGGCAAGCTCATAAGTAAGTCTAATGTCAACTACAGTCTTGTCTGGAGAACTGTCTATGCCAGTCAGCCGTCAAAAAGTTCAAACGTTGGATAGAGAACTGTCGTAGGGAGGTTGTTACAACATATACCATCCGGGAAAAGATTCATTGAGACATTGATGAAGATGAAACAGAGGAACTTGTAAAACTGTAGATGGATTAGAAATGTGAAAGCAATCTGCAGATCCAAGGACAATAACCAGGATTGAGTCAACAAGGGTTGAAACATCATGGAGTGTTCAAGATGCCCCCATGCAGAACCTCTTAGGGGTGAGTGGACCTCCTTTCCTTTTTTTAAAAAGCACCTGCCCATTCGATCTTGCGGGAGGGACTGGCATTAGATGAAGAACATGTTTGGGCAGAGGAGCACCCATAAGCCCAAAGAATAATCAAAAACACGTGTAAGAACTAAGAACCCATCTGGCCAAAATGCAGACTTGCGAGAACTTCACATGAAGTGGTAAGCGGTCACCAGCACAGTCGTTTATGGGCTGAAGAGGGGAGAGCAGCGCCAAACTTGACCAGCATACAGGTGAACGAATGAGTTGGCTCGGTGTGATTAGCCTACAATTTTATCGTTTCTGTGAGTTGTCCTGCAGATGAGTCTTTCCCGTAAAGAGGGAGAGGCCAGAGATGAGCGACAATTGCTTGAAGATAGAGTTGGTGTTCTCATCCAGAGCCATTTGAGCGACTCCATTAAAGTTTAATTTGTTTTGCCTGGGGGAAATACTCCAAGAAGGGTGAAACAAAGGCCAAACAGCAACAAGAAGCCCTATGCAACTTGGCTAGAGTAAGTTCAAGGTTTGAATTTG